ATCCTTGATTTTGAAATTTGGATGGAGAAGTGAAATTGGACGATTGGATTGGAGGATATTCGTGTTCTTTGATCGATGATAGATGTAAGTATTAATGTAATAAATTAACGGGGATGGTTTTTCGAGGGATTGAAAAGAGAAAATTTTACTTTTGATTTAGGGTTTTTGAGAAATTTTTATGGCGAAGCTTTGAATCGAAAGATGTTGTGTGTTTAAGGTATCGAGATTTTTATTGATTACGAGAAGCGGAAGGGAATACGTATTTATTACGTCTGAAGACATCGGGAGAAGTTGGAAACTTTTAATGGAGAAGGAAAATAGATAATTATTTTCCAAGTTGTCCCTTTCATTGTCATTTTATTACGCCAACAAAGGGATTTGCTTACGTAACGGGCAACTATTAAAATTTATTGGCTGCGAAATGTAGAAAGTAATTACTTTTGCTACGTCTGACAACAGAATTTTCAAAAGTTTTTAATCACAAAGAAATAGATAATTATTATTTTCTCTTGTTTCGAAATTCTTTGTAATTTCATTAAACACCGACAAAGGGTTTTACATAACTAACGCAAGTATCTAAATTTATCTATTTTTAATGAATACTATATTTTTTCAATCGTTGAAAAATGAAAATTTTTTGAATCGTTGGAATGGTCGAAAAATTATTTCCAAATAATTAATTTATTTCCATTTTCAAATTCCTTGTTTCAAATTTCATTACATTTGTAGAGTTTACTCGTGATATAAATAACGCAAGTATCAAAATTCACCTATTTAACGAATATTATATTTGACGTCAAAATTGTCAAAAAATTATTTCCAAATAATTAATTTGTTTCCATTTTCAAATTCCTTGTTTCAAATTTCATTACATTACATTCGTAGTTTACTTGTGATATAAGTAACGTGATGAAGTATCAAAATTCACCTATTTAACGAATACTATATTTGACATCAGAATTATCAAAAAAATTATTTCCAAATAATTAATTTATTTCCATTTTCAAATTCCTTGTTTCAAATTTCATTACATTACATTCGTAGAGTTTACTCGTGATATAAGTAATGCAAGTATCAAAATTCACCTATTTAACGAATACTATATTTGACGTCAAAATTGTCAAAAAATTATTTCCAAATAATTAATTTATTCTTATTTTCCAAAATAATCGCTTTGCTTACTCAAATTTCATTACATTGGCAAAGAGTTCACTTTTAATATAAGTAACATAAGTATCAAAATTCATCTATTTAACGAATACTATATTTGATGTCAAAATTGTCAAAAAATTATTTCCAAATAATTAATTTATTTCCATTTTCAAATTCAATTGTTTCAAATTTCATTACATTCGTAGAGTTTACTTATGATATAAGTAACGCAAGTATCAAAATTCACCTATTTAACGAATATTATATTTGATATCAGAATTATCAAAAAAATTATTTCCAAATAATTAATTTATTCCTATTTTCCAAAATAATCGCTTTGCCTACTCAAATTTCATTACATTGGCAAAGAGTTCACTCTTAATATAAGTAACATAAGTATCAAAATTCACCTATTCAACGAATACTCTGTCTGACGTCGAAAAATTGTCGAAAAATTAAACGCATAATTGCTTTTTCCTATTTCGAATTCTTTCATAATTTCATCACACTATGAAAGAACTCTTGCTCTTAAATAAAGCGACGACTAGTTGAATATCCGATCGAAAGAAACGGAGGAGAGGAGAGAAGATATTGTTCGGCAAGTTACCATCGAGAGAATAGATCGCGATTCCACTTCGTTATACATTCAGACCACGTCCGGACCGGTCTTCCTTCTAATAACATCACGCATTCCGGATGTCTTTGCATCTCGTTCCATTCGGCTTAGCCCTCGGTGTGAATCCTTGCACATCCCTCGGTCACGTTTTCGCACGGAAAGATCCCTTCTTCCCACGCCAATTTCGAAAATCTTCCCTGATCGTCGAACCCCCAACCTCGCGTGTATTTATGCAAACTCCTCCACGCGAGAAACTTGGACGAATTTATAATATTGTTACGTCGAGGAAACAAGGGGCTGAGGAAAATTTTAACAACGGCAGTTATCGAGAGAATTTGGATGAATTGTCTTTTATCGTTGCATCTTATTATTTTAGTGAATTAAGTTAAAAAATTTGAATATTCGAATTTAAAAATCTTCTATGGCTGACGTCACGATAATTGTTTTACGTTGAAGTCGATTGAAATTTGGAAAATGAAAAGATAGATAATTAGATTAGATGATAGATGATGGATAAAGATTAGGAACTAATATTTCGCACGAATCGGAGAAGTATGCTGTTGAATAAGATATTGGAAATGTTATATTCGGATTTGGTGCCAATTTTCGATTTTTTTATATTAAAAAATCATGATAATATTATTTTCCTCTTTTATCGATTTTGAAGAAGAATTTCGAATTTTCGACGATTTATTGACGAATGAATGCAACGAATCGAATTAGTGATTATTTTTCTGCTGGATTTTAATTTCTCGTTTGACAAGGGAGGTTTCGCCCCTTGGGTCGAGGAATGGAATTAAAGCGACCATATAAGGCGCTACGAAATAGAATCGGTCTCGATTCTTTGCTTTGGATGAAATTGTGATTCGTGTTAAGAAGTAACTTTTCAACTTCCGCCCCCTCTTTTTTTCCCCACAACAACATTTCAGAGATCACGAGAAGAGGAGGGAGCGCTTTGCTTCTTTAATTCTTTTTTTCTTCGAAACGAATCCTCAAAGAAGCGAAACAACTTGTCGTCAAAATTGAACGATATACCGACTACCGATTCAAATATTTATAACTCTTGCTTCCGATGAATTATTGCGAGGATGCTTCATCGGTGTATTACACCGTTGAAAATAATTCAAGAAACGTTTCGCAAAGGAGCAAATCCATTTCTCCCGCTCCATTTATCCTTTCTTGAATTTTAATCGTCCTAAGGCGGTGCCAGGATACCGAATTTCGAACAGAGGTGTTTCCTCCTTTGATTTTGATTCAGCTTCACCTGTTCGAGAACGACGATTTTCGGATTTCACTCATCGCTTGTTAACGCGGACCCAGGATGCGATTTCTTCGCTCTGCAGAGTGATTAAAGGACGGAAGAACGAGATTGAAACTGGTACGAGTGTAGGTGGACAAACGACAGCAAGAACAGTTTGAGGATCAACCTAGTGTATACAGCTAGCGATGGATATAAACGATCGATCAACAGAACAAACAATATTTTTTGGAAATGCATTCAACCATACTTTAATTTTTATCCTGGTAAAATTTCTAGGAATAATCTTTGAAATCTTGGAAATTTTGGAAATGAAATGACAATCTTTGGATTAAGAAAGAATTCATTTTTTCAATCGAATATCTTGATAAAATTGCTGGGAATAACCTTCGAAATGTTAGAAATTTTGGAAATGAGATGAAACTTTGGATTAAGAATAGATATAAACGATCGATCAAGAGAACAAACAATATTTTTGAAAATGATACTTTAATTTTTATTCTGATAAAATTCCGGGGAATAACTTTTGAAATGTTGGAAATTTTGGAAATGAGATGACAATCTTTGGATTAGCGATCGGTCAAGAGGACAAGCAATATTTTTGGAAATGCATTCAACGATACTTTAATTTTTATTCTGATAAAATTGCTGGGAATAATCTTCGAAATGTTGGAAATTTTGGAAATGAAATGACAATCTTTGGATTAAGAAAGAATACTTTAATTTCAATCGAATATCTTGATAAAATTGCTGGGAATAATCTTCGAAATGTTGGAAATTTTGGAAATGAAATGACAATCTTTGGATTAAAAAAGAATATTTTAATTTCAATCGAATATCTTGATAAAATTCCGGGGAATAACTTTCGAAATGTTGGAAATTTTGGAAATGAGATGAAACTTTGGATTAAGAATAGATAAACGATCGATCAAGAGAACAAACAATATTTTCGAAAATGCATTTAACGATACTTTAATTTTTATTCTGATAAAATTCCGGGGAATAACTTTTGAAATGTTGGAAATTTTGGAAATAAGATGACAATTTGGATTAGCTATCGGTCAAGAGAACAAACAATATTTTTGGAAATGCATTCAACGATACTTTAATTTTTATTCTGATAAAATTGCTGGGAATAATCTTCGAAATATTGGAAATTTTGAAAATGAGATGACAATCTTTGGATTAGCGATGGATATAAACGATCGATCAAGAGGATACAATACAAACAATATTTTTGGAAATGCATTCAACGATTATCGAATATCCTGATAAAATTGCGGGGAGAATAACTTTCGAAATATTGGAAATTTTGGAAATGATATTTGTATACGACTAGGAAACATATTTACCTCGAAACTCTAATTATATCGAAGAAATAACTTTCGAAACATATTTAAAGTTTATTGATAGATATCCCTAGCAATTTTTAGACACGATTAGCGATGGGTATAAAACGTATGATCGACTCACGAAAATTCACGAACTCACCGATTTTTATCCGATCCTAAGACAAAATCGCGAGAGGGAAACAAACATTTGTTGAAACGTTTTTAAATTTTGCCGAAAGATTTTCGTGTATACATCGAAAACAGGAGAATATTTGGACGCGATTAGCGATGGGTACGAACGCTCGATCAACATAGTTCAACTCGAACGGAATTGGACGATACTTTTTCCTGATGGAATCGCGAACCCTCCTCTCGAAACTTGGAAAACGCTTGAAACTTTCTCGAACGGGACGGCAATCTTTTAAGAATGAAATTGGCCGAGAAGTTGGAGCAGGAAAGGAATCGAATGGCCATCGCTATGCACGCTCGCGAGGCTTGCGCCAACTCCATCACCACCACCACCACCACCACCACCACCACCACCGCCGCTACCAGGCAAACGCGCACCTCGACTCCGTTCCACCTCTACCGCCTCCATCAGTCGACCCCGTGCAACGCGGCTCGCCGGCCGCCGCGCGAAAATTTTACCCTCTTGCCCGCCTCGATCTGCGCGCGATCCCTTTGTTCGCCTTTCCGCGACGCAGTCGCGCGTCCTTGCGAATCGTCCTTTTTTTTTTGCCGGCCAGTGATCGAAACCGCGCTCTCCTCTTCCATCCTTCCAACGAAACCACCACGAGACCACCGAGACGAAGAAGAAGAAGAACAAGAAGAAGAAGAAGAAGAAGACGAACGAAGAAGAGAATTTCGAGAGAGAGAGAGAGAGAGAGGAAAATAAAATAAGAGGTGATATCGAGCGTGCGTGTATACACACATATATATATATACATATATGTACAAAAATTGTTGTATACAATCCATATATACATATATAGGTGCGTGTTGTAAGGTCACGGTGAATTGGATAGAGCGACGAGAGTGAGAGAGGAGGGACACGGCGTGGTTAGAGAGGCGAACGGAGAGGAGGATTCCGCGCAAAAGCCGGCTCCCACGGCCGGTCCCCCACTCGCTAACTTGTTGAGCCTCTCTCTCTCCTCCTCGCCAGGACATATATATATATATATATACAAACACACATATATATCCTCTTTCTCCCTGGAATAAAGGAAAAAGAAAGAAAGAAAAATCATCATCGACATGAGGACGAGGATCCTACTACTCCTTTTCCTCCTTCTCTCCTCGTGCACCGGCCCGAGCAGGGGCAACGCGGTGTCCCCGCAGAGGGGCAACGTGCACAACGACCCCCTGGTCGTGGAGACGACTAGCGGCCTCGTGCGCGGCTTCCCCCGCACCGTGTTGGACAAGGAGGTGCACGTGTTCTACGGGATACCGTTCGCCAAACCGCCGATCGGCCCCCTCCGTTTCAGGAAACCGTTGCCGATCGAGGCGTGGCACGGCGTGTTGAACGCGACCGTGTTGCCCAACAGTTGCTACCAGGAGAGATACGAGTACTTCCCCGGCTTCCCCGGCGAGGAGATGTGGAACCCTAACACCAACATATCCGAGGACTGTTTGTACCTGAACATATGGGTGCCTCAGAAGTACAGGCTGAGGCACAAGGGGTCGGACGGTGGGTCGGCGAGCAACGGTGGGCCGAGGAACGGTCTCCTCCCCCTGCTGGTGTGGATCTACGGGGGTGGGTTCATGAGCGGCACGGCCACCCTCGACGTGTACAACGCGGACATCATGGCAGCGACCAGCAACGTGATAATAGCCTCGATGCAGTACAGGGTGGGCGCGTTCGGTTTCCTATATCTGAACAAACATTTCACGAATAGCGAGGAGGCGCCCGGGAATATGGGGCTTTGGGACCAGGCGCTCGCCCTCAGATGGCTTAGGGACAACGCGGAGGCGTTCGGCGGTGATCCGGAGTTGATCACGATCTTCGGCGAGTCGGCGGGCGGCAGCTCCGTGTCCCTGCACCTGATCTCCCCCGTGACAAGGGGCCTGGTGCGCCGCGGTATACTGCAGAGCGGCACCCTGAACGCGCCCTGGAGTTACATGAGCGGGGAGAAGGCGAACGAGGTGGCGAGGATACTTGTGGACGATTGCGGATGCAACTCGACAATGCTGAACGAGAATCCAGCGAGGGTGATGGCGTGTATGAGATCCGTGGACGCGAAGACCATATCCGTTCAACAGTGGAACAGTTATTGGGGAATTCTTGGCTTCCCCTCGGCACCGACCATCGACGGGATCTTCCTCCCCAAGCATCCTCTCGATCTGTTGAGGGAGGCCGACTTCAAGGACACCGAGATACTGATCGGTAACAACGAGAACGAGGGTGAGTTCTCCTATTTCTTTTCCATCTTCTCCTCATCTTCGCACGTTGTGTGGATGGAAGACACTCTTTTCCTTTTTAGATGGATTAGTCGATTCTTGTACGTATATTTCTTTTTTCGCAAAGTCAGAAGCAATGAGAAGAAAGAAGAGGGATGTTTCGTTACTTTCAGACGAATAGTTTTATATATATATGTTTTTTCTTCGCGTTAGAAGGAATATTCAGAAGGACTGGATGAGAAGAAAAAAGAGGGGTGTTTCGTTAATTTTAGATGGATAGTTGATAGTTTTATATGTATATATATTTTTTTCGCATCAGAAGGATAAGAAGAAGGAAAGGGGTGTTTCGAAACGTTCGTTACTTTTAAACGAATAATTTTATATATATATATTTTTCGCATTAGAAGGACTGGACGAGAAGAAAGAAGGGGGATATTTCGTTACTTTTAGATGGATAGCTGATAGTTTTATATGTATATATATTTTTTTCGCATCAGAAGGAATGTCCAGAAAGACAAGAAAAAGGAGAAGGTGTTTCGAAACGTTCGTTATTTTTAGGTGGATAGTTATATATATATTTTTTTTTCGCGTCAGAAGGGCGGGATAAGAAGAAGGAAAGGAATTTTTCGAAACGTTCGTTACTTTTAGACGAATAATTTTATATGTATATATATTTTTTTCGCATTAGAAGGAACGTCCAGAAGAACTAGATGAGAAGAAAGAAGAGGGGTGTTTCGTTACTTTAAGATAGATAGCTGATAGTTTTATATATTTTTTTCTCGTCAGAAGGACGGAATAAGAAGAAAGAAAGGGGTGTTTCGAAACGTTCGTTATTTTTAGGTAGATAGCCGATAGTTATAAATATATATATATATTTTTTTTTTCGCATCAGAAGGGCAGGATAAGAAGAAGGAAAGGAATTTTTCGAAACGTTCGTTACTTAGACGAATAATTTTATATGTATATATATTTTTTTCGCATTAGAAGGAACGTCCAGAAGAACTGGACGAGAAGAAAGAAGAAGAGTGTTTCGTTACTTTTAGATGGATGACCGATAGTTTTATATATTTTTTTCTCGTCAGAAGGACGGAATAAGAAGAAAGAAAGGGGTGTTTCGAAACCTTCGTTACTTTTAAACGAATAATTTTATATATATATTTTTCGCATTAGAAGGACTGGACGAGAAGAAAGAAGAAGAGTGTTTCGTTACTTTTAGAAGGATAGCTGATAATTTTATACATATATATTTTTTTTTCGCATCAGAAGAATGGGATAAAAAGAAAGAAAGGGGTGTTTCGAAACGTTCGTTATTTTTAGATGAATAATTTTATATGTATATATATTTAATATAATTATATATAAATATATTTAATATAATTATATATTTAATATATGTATACATATATTTTTCACATTAGAAGGAACGTCCAGAAAAACTGGATGAGAAGAAAGAAGAAGAGTGTTTCGTTACTTTTAGATGGATAGCTGATAGTTTTATATGTATATATACTTTTTTCGCATCAGAAGAAATGTCCAGAAAGACAAGAAAAAGGAGAAAGTGTTTTGAAACGTTCGTTACTTTTAGGTCGATAGCCGATAGTTATATGTATATATTTTTTTCTTCAGAAGGATGAGATAAGAAGAGGAATGTTTCGAAACATTTGTTACTTTTAGACGAATAATTATATATATATATATATACATATTTTCGCAAGGATGGGATAAGAAGAGAAGTATTTCGAAACATTCGTTACTTTTAGGTCGATAGCCGATAGTTATATGTATATATTTTTTTCTTCAGAAGGATGAGATAAGAAGAGGAATGTTTCGAAACATTTGTTACTTTTAGACGAATAATTATATATATATATATATATATATATATATATATATATATATATACATATTTTCGCAAGGATGGGATAAGAAGAGAAGTATTTCGAAACGTTCGTTACTTTTAGATGGATAGCCGATATTTTTATATATATATATTTTTCGCATTAGAAGGAACGTCCAGAAGGACTGGACGAGAAGACAGGAGGGGGATGTTTCGTTAGGTAAAAGCAGGGAGGGGGGAGGAGAACAATGGTTCCGGTGTATTGTATATCGGTGGTTGGATAATAAAACCCAGTATATATATATCGGCGGGGTGATCCTCCCTTTCTTGTTAATGAAAAGCCGCGGACGCGGCTAACAGAAGCCCGCCCTTTCGAAGAGAATTATTAAAGCCCACGGCTTTCTTAAAACCGCGCGTCGTCGTCCCACTCTGGCTAATTAACCTTTGCTAAATGCCTCGGGGACCTGGATATAATAAACGTCTCGCTCTCGTTGCGCGCACGACGGAGATAAAAAAAAAAAAAAAAATCAGATTCTCGAATTTATATCTCTCCTCGAATTTTATCGAGAGGATTTGAAAGGGGAGGAAATTTCGCGCGAAGGGGGAGAAGTTTCGAATAATGGGAGGAGGGATATATTCTATCGCGTGGAAATATTTTGCTTTTAAACGACGAGATCGAAATGTGGTGTATTTTTTAAAGCGAGACGCTTGAATCTGAAGAATTAATAGCCGATCAAGGATCGAACGAGAAGAATAAAAATTTTACTTTCGAGCGTATTCTGAACGATATAATTTCGACGAAGATATGCGTCGAGCGTGAAATATTGAAATAACGTATGAAGATGGTGTCGGTCAGCCAGAAAGAAATACGATTTTCCACGAGTCAAATGTCCATTAATAACAGTTTCTCGCTCGAGTGGAGTCGAGATATAATTAAGTATACATATATATCTTCTCTGTATCTCTCGATTTAAACCGTCTCGATATCTCTTTTTCTCTCGCTTGGAATATTCGATGATTATTCTCTCGATCATAAATCACGCTTGTTCGAGCTTCTCCTCGAATATTCGATCTTCAAATCGCATTGATGGAACAATGGGTGAACCTGTTGGGTTTTCTCAATTGAAGAAAGGAAAAAAAAAAAAATTATGCAATCACGCGAGATTAAATGATTAATCGAGTTCGTTGAGTGCAACGTTCAGTTGGAGAAAAATCTGACGAGTCTCCATTTGTTCTCGCTTGAACGAATCATCGGATCTTTTAGAACTGAATTCTTTAAAAATCTTTCGCACGTCTGACATATATAAATGAGGATAATAAATAACTATCATTTGTTTAAAATTATTTTTATGCCACTCTTTCAAATTCGATTATTCGTCAATTCTTTGACACGTGACGTAATAAATATATCTATAGCATTTTTAATTGTATTATTTCATCAATTGAATTTTGGATTTAAAAATTATAGTACATCGCATCAATAACAAAATTTCGTAATTTTGAAGTGTAAAAGCAAAAGAAAGAGAAGAAGCGATAGGATAATTAAGAGGTTAATTCGCCGTAAGTTTCTTTTTTTTTTTTTTTTTTTTTTAAATCTTCCCTTTGTTTCGTAAATTGGATAAGTCTCTGTCGGAAGGTTTCGCTTCGAAACGATTTTAAATGTCAGTCGGTCGATAGCTGGCTCTCGGGGAAACCCATATTACCGAACCTCTCGTTACCCCCGATAGCCTGAACTATTCGAAAAAGAGGAGGGATCCTTCTAGTGGTAATTGGAAACGTGTAGGTACCGGCCACGATTAGCCAGATCGCATAAAGTATCGGTTTTAGGAAGATTGTGGCCACTTTCTTTTGTAGAATCACTGGTAACCTACTTTCCCCTTTTCGAATCCACTTTTGCCAAGATTTAATTTTATACCCAAAGAGAACGGTAGTAGATCATCCGCGAAACGTTCTTTTAGATATAAAATGTGGAATAGAGAGATTGCGAGATTTTTTCTTTTTTTTTTCTTCTTTTTTTATCACTGAAACACGTTCAAATTTATGAAACTCGTTATGAAAATATATTGTACTTCTAAAATATTTATCATAATTTTCCTAATGTAACGTATGTTCAATCCTTTCAAGGATTATGAACAAGCATCATATCTGAAAAAATTAATTTACACGCATTCAATGTCAATTTCCATTCAAATTATTATATACACATCGATAATTTCATCCAGTCTTTTTTTTATCCTAAATTGGCATCTTTATATCTGAAAAAAAAAAATTATTTACAATTTGGAAAATATAACATTCGAAATTTTTAAATTTATTTTCTCAATTATTACGCCATTGCGCGTTTCTCTTTCTCTTTGTATTTACGCTAGTTTCGGATTGCGCGTTAAATTATAACGTAAAAGAATGTAAAAGAATAGTTTGCGATTTTGCACAGGAAAATGAGCATCTGAGAAAGATACAGTCTCTTCGTGACAGATAATCGGAGAGATAGAGATGAATTCATTTCACGTAACTCTGGGTCGATCTGACGCATCGCGATATATATATATATATGCGTTACTTGCATCAGTAATTTGGCCCATTCAGAGTTACCGTTCGATATGATATCTTGCGCCTGACACCTGTGCAAATTCACGTTGCGACTGACAATTGAGTGTCGCTCTAATGCTGAACCGCTTAACGATATCCCCGTGCATGGGTTGAACATGGTAATTTCACGACCGTGCCCTTTAGGCGTGACCATTTATCACCAGCCTAACCTAAGAATGTGTACATGTGTGATACAAATCGGGTTAGTTATTACGTAATTAGACAACAATGTTGTAAATGAGATACGATTTCTAGATTTTTTTTTTTTCTCTTAATCTAACGTATCTCGATTTATTTAGATTCAAGAAATGTTATGATTGCTAGAGTCAGTTTTTATTCTTTATCCAAAACGATGTTTTTTTATTTTAATAGATTTAGAAATATTGAGTTAGATATAACGTTTGTAAGTGGGATTCAATTTTTAGGTTATGTATTCAAAGTTGTGCTTTTCTAACCTAACATTCCAGACATGTAATACAGATTAGGTATAGGTAAGATGATTTTATTTATTTCTTTTAAAAATTTATCCAAAACAGTAATATTTTTCTAACCTAATCTAACATCTCAATATTCAGATT